TAGTCACGAAAAAAATAGTTTATTTGAAAAATGAACTATAGAAGTATCATAGTTTCCTATCGAACAGACCTTCGCGGCTATATTCGGTCCCAATAGTTCTAAATCTATAACACTTTTTATTGACTAGTTTTATCCCTATGCAGGATGGCGAACAACATGTGAGACTGGACTTGGCCAGAGAGTTGCAGTTTGCAGCCAAACTTTTCTATCTAGGACCCACTGATAGTTTCGGGCTCAACAAGCTTGGTATGTAGTACCATTGTTTATGGTGACGGCAAATACAAGTGTAGATACGAAGATTAACTGGGTTTCGATGAGTTTCCTGAGATCGTATCGTTGAAGAGATCTTCATTTAGTATGAAAATGCATGAAGATCATATTCGTCGGTTGGTTTCACCAGAAGACGGCGAGTGAATCCCGTTGTACTGCGGTCGTTTGGCTTCAATATGACGTTCAAGTTGACTCAGTCCACGAGACATCCTCCCTCGTTTCCGATGCAACCGAGCATAATAGACGTCTGCCCAACAAATATAAGCGTGTCTAATGCTAAATCATTCCCACTATAAAAGTGTGATTTTGAAGAGGTCTGGCTTTACTTAAAGGTGGCATATGATCTGTAGCCAACTGTGTGGAAAAGGGGTAAACTGTTCTCGGTTTGAGTATATTACGAGGTTATTATAAAATCTTGAATGACAACCTTGCAAACTAAACTCGCTTAAGATGACTCCGGCATTGGAATATGATAGATACGAAGAGAAACTGGGTTTCGATGAATCTTTTGAGATAACATTGTTAGGGGGACTTTCATTTCGTATGAAAGTTAAACTAGATTTATCCGTACTCATCTGGTGCGATCGACCAACGAATCGCTTCTTCATTCACTTTCGTACGAAGTGAAAGTCGCCCTAACACTGGAATATGAGTTGTCCACAGTAAAGTGAAAAGGCTTTATGATACCGTTGCATTACAATCAGCTTTGCTTGCCAAGAAGCCATTTCATTCATTTTGTACTGGACCTCAATTTCGACTTTGTCTCATCGCAGCATCACTACCTCCAACGGGATTCGATACCAGCTAGTGGGTATCTTGATGAAGTTACCCCTTCACAACCCAATCACGTTTGCCATTGGGCAGATGTGACCCTCAAGGCATGACAGGCTTTGCCCAAATCACATTTACAGTAAGAGTTCCAATTGAGCAAATATCTATTTGTTGAGCTTACTTCCATTTCGAGTGAAAGTGCTGGATGAAGAAATTCGAAAGTCGATTCCACCAGAAGACGACGGCGAATTCCTCGTGACCAGCTGTCGATTGGCTTTACTGGAACATTCATGCTGACGCTGTTTCCGAGGCAATCTCCTTCGAGTCCGGTGAAAAGGTGCTAAGCTTTCGTCCGTCATAGGACGAACATCATCAGAGCAAGGCATCATCATCACAACAAAATTCAAGCTAACGGGCCAACGAGTTTTCTTGACTCCTCAGCTTGAATTTGATTGTGACGATGATGCCTTGCTCTGATGATGTTTGTCACATGACGAACGAAAGCTTAGCACCTTTTCACCGGACTCGAAGGAGATTGCCTCGGAAACAGCGTCAGCATGAATGTTCCAGTAAAGCCAATCAGCAGCTGGTCAAGAGACATCTGGCATCGTCTTCTCGAATCTCTTCACCCAACACTTCCTCTCGAAATGGAAGTAAGCTCAACAATTATGAAACACAAGATTCCTCGAAACCCAACTTTTCTTTGCAAATATGTATTTGCCATTGGAATCGATGATGTAACCTATTATTGGTGTAAGTAGGTTTCGAGGCCATCAGTGATTCTTGAATAGGAACTTGGTCACCATAGACTGCCTACGGGGATTCAAAGAAGCGTGTTGTCGCTTGATAGGCACGATCTGGTCTCGAATCCTGTTGGGCGTGAGGCTGAAAAGACATGTGAAATACAATGACATCTTAAGATATACATATTTTACAGTGAGCAAGTCATCTATGCCTCTCGACATCGCTTAAGGTGACCTAAGCTAATTGTGGCTCCTATTCAACATCTACTGGCACTCGATATAGTGCAACATTTTTGTGATCAAGGCCCAACTTTTTTGTTTGCATTTACTCTTTTCAATTAGTTTCTCGTGCAGTCATTGAAACTGTTGCATGATTGAAGTTAGTTTCAATGGATGCGCTGAAAAATTGGGTTTTGAGGCTTCCCTTGGAGCAAGGCTATTCGGTTATAACCGTGGACAGTGGGCGCTTAGCCGGCGCAGAAATGGAATAAGATGACAACATTGTTGTGCTTACTTCCATTTCGAGTAAGAGCGTTTGGTGGAGAGATTCGAAGGTCGGTTCCACCAGAAAACGACGGCAAATTACTCTTGACCAACTGCCGATTGGCTTTACTGGAACATTCATGCTGACGCTGTTTATCCTTCGATTCCGGTGAAAAGGTGCTAAGCTTTCGTCCGTCATATGACGGTCATCATCAGAGCGAGGTAACATCGTCACAACAGAATTTAAGCTAAAGGGTCAAGTAAACTCACCGGCAAATGCCTAA